CCTCAGATGCTACCATTTACAAACTCAGAAGGCTATATTCACAGTAAATTGTTCTAGCACTTCTGCAAACTGAATTTGGTAATGCCTTCCTATCATATATACAGCTGCAATTTTGGAACAGTTGTCTTGCCTGTCCATTGAGAAGGCTTCACTTTCTCATAAGAAAAATCCTTAGATGAGCTTAAAAGACAGAGTCAGTAACCTATCGGGCTGGAGAAACCCGCCCACCCAAAAACTGGACTCAGTAACCTATGTTATACAGAGACTATGAGATCCAACAACTACTTTGACACACCTCTTTCCCCCAGGCTTTATTAAATGCATCTCACCCTACTTACTATACTCTGGCCCTATCCTGCTGACAAAAAAACTCCAAGACTTTCTTCAGACAAGCAAGTCTCCCTAGTTTGTTCAGGTTCTCCGAACGTCCTCCCATCAGCTCTGTATTGCTATGTTCATGTTCTGCATTGCTTTTCTCCATGAATGTTTGAGAATGGCAGCTTTAACTCCAGCTGCTCTAATGCTTTTTATTCAGTCTCTAAAAGAAAAACAACATCCTGCTTTCTTGCTTCTTTCCTACATAATACCACCAGTTGTTGCTGCTCCAGTGCCTGATCATTTCCATCCCCCAAGGTTAAAGCAGTAAGAGGAACGTTGAAATTATCCAGGCAATTTACCCAGAAAAAATTCCCATTTGTCTGGAATAAGCACAAATGGATTTAATACCAGCTCTTGCCATCATCTGGAACATACAACCTGCTGCTACCACTTCCAGCAATTATATTACAAGTTCTGTGATATCTGACACAACTTGTAAAGCCCAAATCCTGGAGCAATGCAATTACATACAACTCTACAAACTTGTTACAGTTATGTTTCCAGTTCTCATGGTCACAGGAAGGGAAGGCGAGGCTAATCCTGTTGAAAAGAAACCCAAAATCAGACAAAAGCCCAATGCCTTCATAAAACTGTCTTAAGCATGAGATTTTTTTCATTTTTCAATACATAAGTACAATACGCAACCTGAATGTTAGCCATGATACTTTATGCTTTTAAGCAGATCAGCTAGACTGTAGAGTGGAGGCTTCATGATTAACTCTTAAACATGCCAAAAGTCATCCTTGAAGGTATGCAACTTTCTTCCATGGCCACAGTAAGCTAGGTAGTGCATTATTCTTACAGCAAGAACAATGAAGAAAAACTACTTAGTTCAACTTGCAAAGAGAAAAACAAAGGAAATACATAAAATTAACTGGGTTATGACTAGCACGTGCACCTGGCCTACAGTATGAAGAGCATTGTAGACTCCAGTAGTAAAGGTACAGTGTATAGGGTTACCTATTTTTCAAACATTTCATTATGCAGCAACAATCTGAAGCACAACATTTCCTTTCCAGCACTGTCAATTAATGGGCTGGAGGGATGGAAAGAACAACTAACGTGCAGTACAGGAAAAAATAACACAAAACAAAATTAAAAAAAAAAAACAAACAAACAACCCCAAAACCAGTCTTCTTTCACAAACAGCTAATTCCTACACTTCAAACTGTAAAGCTTATTTATTGACACATGCAGGATCTCATCTTAGCATGGAAAACAGAATTTCTGCTGATATCCCAAGTCAGCTAGAGCAACCTTCTTTTTCTTCACGTCTTTCTGCAGTGCATGGGAAGAAAGAGCCATTTGTTTTACACCTGTTTGATCTGAGCATTTACGTAAGAATTTGAAATCTGTGCATAAACTAGAGAGCCAAATGCCTTCATCAGCGTGATATTCACCACAAAGGCTAATAAATATATTAAAGGATCGCGAGCATTGCCTGTACATGGTTATAATATATTGTACGAACAAACCATCAAAATAGTAAGATAAAGAAAGATGAACTTGCCAGAAGACCATAAGAAAAACCATAAACACCTATGTCATGGATATACAGTATATCCTTACTTTATCCCTAGCACACACAAATACACCTTTTCTGTCGATCTCCACCCCTGCCACAGCCCTCTTGTAACTTCAGGAAGGGAATCGTAATCATTCTCTGCTGCTAGATACAATCACCTGATCCACAGCTTATTAAACAGAAACCTGGAGAAACAGAACCAAAACCAGATATCCACCAGCGGGATCTAGATACAGAGTCACTTCATTAAATCATCAGCGCTGTTGACTTTGGTGAGTAAGTTCTCCTACTCTCACCTCCAACTAGTTTCTATTGTGGATATACCTTGAACATCAGTTTCTGTTACGTCAACAATCAGTTTCGTTCCGTTTTCTTATACCAGAGTATTTAGAGTAGGAATAGGAAAAAAGCACAGATAAAAAACTTCCCTTTAGATCGACAACGTAGCAAACGCGGAGACCTCAGGTTGGCGGTTGCCTCTCAGAGCTCGGCACCCAGGCCCACCTGGCAGCCCCACCACCCTCGCCTCCCCGGGCCGTCTGCTTCCAAGGGTCGCCCCGACAGCCCTTCCCGTGCCCTCACACGCCTTACTCGCGTCTTGCGGCGCCGGTGCCGCTTCGGGTCCGAGTACGTCCTATCCACGGCCAGCAGCGTGTCGCTGCCCGGCATGCTGCGCCGTCGCCTCCTCCTCCTCCTCCTTCTCCTTCTCCTCAGCGGTGCCCGCCAAACGCCCGCGCGC